TTTAGGTTTCTTTCACTAACAAATTCGCACTTTGCTGCTCATAAACAAATCCCAATTGAATAACATAGCAAATGTTTGACTCAACTTATTTATATGAAGCAGATATAAAGCCTTTAGTTATTTGTTATAGTTACTCTGTTTATATATGTGTTTACTTAAAACTCTGGTATGTGACGGTGTAGATTTTAAACTTAAAGTTAACGCATTACTACGAGTGTTAAACAAAAAAAGTAAAAAATAAAATGTTCTACGGAAAAATTATGCTAATTATTGTATGTACTTCTTTAATATATAATGATTACACAAAAGAGATTCAAATCAGTACGAATTGGTGGTTTAATTCTTTTCTTTTTCATTTACTCAAAGCACTTACATCATTTAACTATAATTTACTCTTTTTGTTTTAAATTTGTAAGTTTTATACTCATCTAAAAATAAAAGCTTATCTTAATCTTATTACAAGCTTGCTTTTAATTCTCATTTATGAGCAGCAAAAGTAGTGCGCGTAATCCAGTCTTCATTTTGATAAAGACGATGTTAAAAGCTAAAGTAACAACTATAAAACTAAAATATACAATGAAAGCAAGTGCATTTACCCACTTAATATAATAATTAAATTTATGTGTATTTACGCCTCTTTACACTTGTTGCTGTTGAATGTAATTTCATTAATTCATTTATTTTCAACAAAATACTTAACTCCAAATTAAAAATTAAAAGAAAAATAAAAACTAAGGGATTTCCTTTATAACTAAATGAACTGGAAAGTAGAGTATGAGTTAAATAAATATGTACATGATCCTTTGAGGAAAAAAAAATTGAGATTACATTTAAATTAACTAAACAAAGTTATTTCAAATGATAATGCGAAATAGTTATAGCTTTAGCGCCAAATGTGAATTCTAGTTTTTCATGAATTTAATTTTTAGCTTAATATCTAGTTCTTTGATTAGAAGCTCAAATTTGATTTACGTTTGTATATGTATATACAATGAACTCTTGTGCCAGCCTTATTTTTCAATTGTAAAATTTCATATTCATTTTATATCGCACAAAATTTACATCATAAAAATCTTTATATATTACATTCTTAAGAATAATGAGAATTAATTCGCAGTGTTACAACTTAAAATTGACTTCATATTCTCATCTAAATATACAATACACAAATACAAAATTAAACATTTTGCCTAGCCATATATGTTTTACTAAATGTCCCAACAATTCATTTACACTACTTCATTGTACACTTGCTACGTAGGTTTCTGAAAACTCAAAAAAGATATAACACAGCATATGCTGTTTACGAGATACATATTAATTGTACCGTTCTGTGTAGCGAGCTAACTATGAAAACATGCTTTGTAACAGATTTTATAGAAATTCACAGAGCTAAATATGAGCACAGAACTTAAATGAAAAACGTTTTCAATAATTATAGAAGTAAAAAACAGCAAAATATATAATCTCCTTTTGTAGGCAGTTTTTAGAAAACTCAATGTCAATTTAACTAACTACAATATGCAAAATATTTGTCTACACTGCAGCGGGATGAGTTCATTTCCCTTATTGATGTGGCTGAAAGTCGCTATTTTATTTACAGTTTAAACTAATCAATAAGTTTAATGTTTAGTTGTGCACCGGCATTGGCAGTTGACCTAGTAAGTTATTAGCGAATTGTGAGTTCGTGAATTTAAAGTGGCGCTTATCGTAAAATTTTAGCAATGCAGGCGAGTACGGATGATTTTCCTTCAAGTGGATGTAATGAACTTCGGGTTCGCAAGTCGTGTGACCACATTCCTCACAAACGTACATCTTTACATGAAAATAAATTTATAAAAAGATATTTATATAACACATCTTTCAAGTGCTGTTTAATTATTTTACCTTAGCGCGTCGCTCCTTGTACGCGTACTGGTGCTGCACACTGTGCACCTTGAGACAGTGGGACTCTAGCGAGCACCGCTGAGTAAAACTCTTCTCGCACAAGTTACATTTGTATGGTCGTACACCAGTGTGTGTACGCGTGTGGCGTTTCAAATCGAAAGTGTCGTTGAATCCTTTGCCGCAGAATGTGCACAAGTAGCGTTTAATTTCTGAATGGCATTTCATATGACGATTCAATAGACGTTGCAATGAGAAAGCTTTTAAGCAAACGCGACACACAAATTTAGAGCCGTCCGCAGCACAGCTCCCGTTCTCCGAGCCATCAGTGCTAACATTTCCGCTCTTTTTTAAATCGTCTACACAATCAATGCTACGTATACGATGGTGCCCAGAATGAGTGTTTTCCACAGCAAGTGGGTTCTTAATACCATGACCGCCGTTAACAAATTCCAGCTGAACTTCTGGCGGCAGTCCCAACTGTAAAATAGACCAAATACAGTATAAGTTAGAAAACAATGTATATACCAGACTTGAGGTCGATAGTCACAAAACAAGTTCGTTCGGCGTACATTACATGTAACACAACAAATTATTAATCTCCCAAAGTATAAACTAAGAGTTCTAACAGGTATCTTAACAGGTCATTGCAGATTAAGAAGTTTCCTACATAAACAAGGAATCTGGTCCAACAATGTGTGCCGGTTCAGTGATACCGCAGCAGCGACTTCTGAGCATCTACTTCTCGAATGCGACGACGCAGTGTTCTGACTATCTGGAGGCATGTAGAACAAAGTCGTCTTGACATGTGATTAAAAAAACCCGATTGGACTTAGAGAGGGAAAAATAAAATTCAAAATTTCACATCATTTATTCACCCTCCTCCCTAAGAACGTTACATTAAAGAAAAAATACTGGAATCGGCGCAATACCGACTAATCAGATTAGTTGCACTTGGCGCTGAACCCATTACAGCAAGTGTTTCTTTTTCCATTGTAATCAATTCTTTAAGTGGTCGGTTGACGTGGTCCAAAGTTATGCGTCAACATACATATGTACATAAAAAAAAATATATATATATTCCGACGCACTAACCTCCTTCTTTTTTGGANCTTCTTTAAGTGGTCGGTTGACGTGGTCCAAAGTTATGCGTCAACATACATATGTACATAAAAAAAAAAATATATATATATTCCGACGCACTAACCTCCTTCTTTTTTGGAAGTCGGTTGAAAATTAACCAAAATCCCATCACATTTAATGACTGGGCCCATAATTTTTCCGAATTTTGGACGTTATAGTGATCCAATACCTGCCATTTTTTTATGTAGTTTTCTAATAAAAGAGAGAGTACAAACTAAATTTCTTCGAAATCGTATCAAAATTAATGTTTCCGCCCCCAACAGTGGAGGGCGTGGCAATTATCACATCTTTTCCAAATTTCATAATTACCTATTCCTAAGTGAAATTAGAGCACTTGTGCAGTAATGTAATTTCAACGAAATCGTGGCAGGTTAACTATTATTTCCACCAGCCTCCATATAGTCGAAACAATGTGCGCCGGGGCGAGAAAACGGGAGAAATATCTCGGGTCATTATGCCCGCAACCGGAACCAAAGAATCTTTTGGAGTTCCAACGGGAACTAGGACTGAGTGAGGTGCTGTAATTAGGAAGTGGGCACAATAGATCTTCTGATCGCAGTGCATACCTAAACTAACACAACAAATTTCGTGCGATTAATCACTACCATTAACATGTACTTAATTCCTTGTATTTAACTATGTACAGTTCCTTAAAAAACATAAATATTTACATTTTACCTTTCGGAGCAAAGGTATGTATACAAACTAGGCTCGCGAAGAGGTACTTTTTGTTTTGGACAATCTCCAGCACCTAATGTCAAGTTATAAATATTTCTAAATCAATGCAAATACGTATTTTTAGTCTAATCTCTTACTGCCAAATATTCAGCTTACTAATAAACCTAGTACCGCCACTGAGCATTCAAACAAAACGAAAACAATCAAACAAATTTTGTAAAACAGTGTTAAGTTGATTCTGCCTTGGCCTTGATTTTGATGCTTACCCTCTGCTGTAACACTTTGCTTTCGTGCAGCATTGCGACAGTGGGTGATGGTGGCAATATGCCAGCAGCGGTTGCTGCCGCTGCGGCAGCAACACTTCGCAACGACGCAGTAGCCACCATCGACGCAGACCCACAAGAGGAACTTGTACTCAACTTTCTAGAACCCGTACCACAAGAACTTGCATTGGAACTGCCGGTCGAATGAGTTGGACTTACGCTTTGTATCAGGGGCTTTGTGTCCAGCATGGCAGCGCTGGCATCTAGCAAACCAGAGGTTGAAGCGCCCGACGAATTACTCGCTGCCGACGACATTCCATGATGTGCCGATAGGTGGGCCGCATTTGGCGATGGCAGCGATAAATTGCTATTATCGCTGTTGTGATGATGGTGATGCTGCATATGATGAGGCGGAGCAATGTGATGTTGCTGATGATGATGCTGCGCTGAGCCATACGAATGGCCATGCTGCTGGTACGTATGTTGCTGTGGCTGCTGTGGTTGCTGTGCCAACAACATTGGACCACCGTGCTGCATCATAGAAGTCTGCTGTTGCTGTTGATGATAAGGATGCTGTTGTGCATGATGTTGTTGTTGCTGCATCTGCATTAAATCACGCGTTGCATGTTGATACGAAGGTGGTGGCTGTTGCTGTTGGTGGTTCATACCATGATGGTCGTTGTTCATATGCTGCTGATTGCCGTTCATATGTTGCTGACGTTCAAATGGATACGGCTGCATATTTCCGTTTTGGCTGCTACCGATATGATTGCGAGAGATGTTGCTTGTTATTTGTTGAATCAGAGTTTCGTGAAAATTATCTAGGTGACTTGTATTGTTAGTGTCCACAGGTGTTATGGATACAGAGTCAGGGGTAAGCGATGGCGTTGAGACTAGTTCGAAATCTTGTCTAGGGCTTGTCGAGTTCTCGTCATCCACACATTCGCGCTGCAAAAACGAACTGAGGTCAACTGCATCAGAGAGTTGTTCAAGCAAATGGTCTGTCTGCGAGCTGAGCATGAGAGTAGCTGTGAATTGCAGAGGATCCACTGAGCCATTGGGGCCCTGCGAATTGGCCAGGTCCGACATAATAGCATCTTCGTAAGCGGCTGCGTTGAAATTTCCGGAATTCCCCATTGTGGCTTGAATGATGTTTTGTGCAAAAGCTCCGATGTCGATCTTGGCTTCGTCATACTCTATATCGGGCTCATCCTTGAGTATTATGCCATACGCTGAGGGATTATTTCCATAATGCGGATGTCCATGATGGTGATGGTGTTGATGATGATGATGTTGAGTAGAAGGAGAAGAGTTATTATATTTGTTATTATGCGCATGCGCAGAATAATTTGTGTTACCCTGGCCATTGGCAAATGTAGTAATTTCCAAACCACCACTACTGCTGTCATTTAAACCACTACCGACACCACTAAGACCGTTGCTATTTCCATTTCCCGATGCACAGTCGATGAAGCTGTTAGCCTGCTGTTGACCACTGCTATTTCCACCAGCAGCTGACATTAAGTATGCCGCAGCCGCAGCATTTTGAATAAGGAAATTTGAATTTTCATTGAAATTTGCAGAGGATGATGACGAGTTCATTGTGTTTCCGCTTTTCAAGCTCTCGTAGAAAGGAGGAAGAGCACCTGAAGGTGGAGAGTTTGGACCGTAGTTGCTGCGGCCGTCACGTCCGCCGCCCATTCCACCACCAGTGCCGCCGCTGCCACTACCTCCTAGTGTACCTCCAAAGCCCGTAGGTGAACCTGCACCTCCACTCGTGCTCTGGTTGTTGCCACTGCCTGAGCTGTTACCACCAAATCCGCTGGAACCCTGGAAGCCTTGTCCGGCACCAGTTGATGATGTGCGGCCGTGACCTGCAGCTGCAGCTAAAATACCCGGGAGGCTACGTACGAGACGAGGATTGAGACGAGCTTGGGTGAGCACAGCACGCGCTGCCAATATTGCACTACGTCGACGAGCTTCACGTAACTTACGTTCGCGTTCTAAACGCTTTGCATTCAACGAATCAACTTGCTCTTCGTCGCTGTCGAATGAAGCTGACCGTCGTTTCGGAACGTGGTAGTCAATCGGCTCTTGCTGTTCAGGACCGAGGTGCTCAAGCGAACCGGGTGGTAATAAAACTTCGTGTTGACTCTGCCGTTGAGGTGGCGTTGGTGCTGGTTTTGGAGTACGCTGTATAACACTACAACGTACAGCAGGTCCAGGCGGAGGACTAGGACGTTTTTCTAACGGAGGAGGGGTGCTTCGCAAACGTAACGACAATGGTCTATCTTCGGGTACCAATGGCTTTTCGTCTACAATAAGTTTAGACCCATCCGAATCCGAATCTGAATCACTAGAGCTATCCTCACTTGGAGTGGGTGTGAATCGTTGCCTAACAATCTCTACTGGGTATTCCTTGCGTTGTGCCTGTGTTAGTACAATACCTCCGCTGTAGGGTTTATTGCCACCTAAAATCGAAGAAATGAAGCGTGGTTTACCAACTTCTACCTCTGGTTCACAAACTTCTTTGGGTTGAACGATCTCCTCTTGATCTTTAACTTTGTCAGTTTTTGGTGGTTGGGAGAAGGAATCGGCCAGCGATTCCTCGTTACAGTCTTCTGTTTCTTTTGCAATGCTCTCCTGAAGAGATAGACAGCTCTTTGGGAGAGTAATGTCTTGAGATGGTTCTGGTTGGGAAGGTTTGACGGGTGTGGGTGATAGTGGAGATGAAGCAGAGTTGGTGGTTGATGCCTCCGCTGCCAAAGTTGGATTTGCTGGCGATAAGCGATCACTTTGCTTGGCGGCAGTGCCTCCAACTGGAAAGAAGATAAAATAAACATCTGTTAGTAAATACATACATACATGCGTAACTGACGAAAAACAATAACTTTCTTAAGAATTTGTGTGAAGCGTTAACTGTACAAATTTTCCTAGAATTAACGGAAGCAAGGTTAGGTCCTTTCCGAGAATTAACGGGAGCCAAAAATTGTAGTTTATCGAAAAATTCTTTCGTATTTTTTTCTTGTTTTACAACTCAAACGACTTTTAAACGACCTTTCGCACTCAATAACGGTTTAACACAAATTGTTTAAGAACGAATTTCTTTATTTTATAAACTTTTCAGTTAACTGCGCAGAAAACCAACTGGAATTTCAAATAACTGTTTCCATGTCTAGACAGCAGGGAATTGTTGCCACATAACTGTTTTAATGTCAGCGCAAATTGGAGAACTTAACTTGCCAGACGGAAAAATTAAGTAATGGATTATGACTGAAATTGAGGATTATGTGAGGTGGTTATTGTTAATAAAAATATTTTAAATTGCCAATTAATTAACATTTGTCATCGAACGTCTATCAAAACATGAAAGAAGAAATGTAAATACCTCTTATCAGAGCAAACCGTTATAACCTGGTAATTTTTATTAATTCACTGTTAACACTTCCATAACACTAATTTAAATCAAAGCATCTGTCTCACATAAAATCCCAACCTGATACCAATCACTTGAATACATAGGATTTGGTTTGTGAGGTGTCAAAACAAATGATCTTCTCGAGTTTGTAGTTTCACATTTTGTAAAAACACTTAACAAATTCGTAGGTGACATTGTCGCGTCAATATATTTTAACAAATCACTAAGGTAATCTTAAATAACCCTTTTTGCGTTGATTAAAAATATTAAAACATTTCTTGAGAATTTTGAGCGACGAATAGCTCAAATCACGTTATCAGTACTTGTAAACAAACGGATTCGAAAACGGCACCAAAGAACTGTTGTGCCAACAAGTGCAGTGTACATTTGAATTGTATTGTAATAGACTACACTGAACCAAATCCTAACGGGCTCTGTCACACGGTCAGTATTTATTGACGCCATCCAAGTATCGCGATATTTATTGACGGTGTAGCATGCAGTATTAATGGATAGCAAAATTTCTAAAAACTTTGAAATCCCGATCGCGGATCGCAATACCGTCAATAAATATTGAACGTGTAGCGCTTTCAAAACGCTATCCATACATTTCGTCAGTACATCTTTTACTCTCATAATGCGAACATCGAAAACGTATTCGCTCTGCCTTCAAAAGAAACTCAAAAAATTTGAATTAACATCGGAAATTTTAAAATAATTGTGGAATGCATTATCTGTAATTTATATGCCCAAAATAAAAATATTTTCTTGCGTCATAATAAGCGGTCAGCACAAAAACTATGCAAATACTGACGCGATAAATATTGAACATGTAGCATTCGTGCGCGATCCATCAATCTATCAATATGGATAGCTATCGAAATACCGTGATAATTACTGACCGTGTGACAGGGCCCTATGAATGAATTGTAATAGACGTCGTGAGCAATCTGCGTAACCGGCCGGCTTCACATGCTGGGAAATCTCGCCGGCGTTCTGCTTTTTTCTCTCGCAAGCGAGATAGAGTTTTGCTGACTGGGCATTTGACAGCATACATTTTCATTTGTAAAATGTCGCCAAACNAAAATCTCGCCGGCGTTCTGCTTTTTTCTCTCGCAAGCGAGATAGAGTTTTGCTGACTGGGCATTTGACTGCATACATTTTCATTTGTAAAATGTCGCCAAACAAGAAGGTTCAAGCCTTGCAGGCTCTTCGAGAAAATTAGAAAATCTGCATAAAGAGATGTATACTATTTTCAAATGAAAAATGGCTTCCTCTATATTTGTATTTGCCACCGAAATAAACGATGTTGCTACTCGGAAGAATTCTGCGTAATGAGAACATAGCTGTCAAACAACAAAAATGACAGTTGAAAGCAAGCGAGAGCTCGCATGCCGCTCGGTATGCGAGAAAAAGCATGCTTCGTACTTTTTGCGGTCTCTGTGATAAAATTTATTGTTGATATAAGTCATATCAGTGGCAATATTTGGGTGTGGGCGTTTTATATCTTGATATAACGCCACGTCTCCATTTTCTACTAAATGTGTCTAAACATCTGTCAATTATCTGTTTTAACTTTGTCCCGTTTTCTCATGTGAGCAACGGTAAAATTAAGACTGAGTTGTCAAACTACGAAGTGACATCTGATGTTAAGACGGCGTTGGTAAGAAATTCGGTAAGACAGATATGGTTTAACAGTGGAAATTTGCGGTTTCCACCTGTCATTTCTGTCTTAACAGAGCTTTTTTAACAGAATCTGTAGATGCTGGAGACGTGGGGTAGGCATTTGCACGATGGCTTTTAAAAAGTAATTTTGCNTCAAAAAATTTGAATTAACATCGGAAATTTTAAAATAATTGTGGAATGCATTATCTGTAATTTATATGCCCAAAATAAAAATATTTTCTTGCGTCATAATAAGCGGTCAGCACAAAAACTATGCAAATACTGACGCGATAAATATTCAACATGTAGCATTCGTGCGCGATCCATCAATCTATCAATATGGATAGCTATCGAAATACCGTGATAATTACTGACCGTGTGACNTCATCAATATGGATAGCTATCGAAATACCGTGATAATTACTGACCGTGTGACAGGGCCCTATGAATGAATTGTAATAGACGTCGTGAGCAATCTGCGTAACCGGCCGGCTTCACATGCTGGGAAATCTCGCCGGCGTTCTGCTTTTTTCTCTCGCAAGCGAGATAGAGTTTTGCTGACTGGGCATTTGACAGCATACATTTTCATTTGTAAAATGTCGCCAAACAAGAAGGTTCAAGCCTTGCAGGCTCTTCGAGAAAATTAGAAAATCTGCATAAAGAGATGTATACTATTTTCAAATGAAAAATGGCTTCCTCTATATTTGTATTTGCCACCGAAATAAACGATGTTGCTACTCGGAAGAATTCTGCGTAATGAGAACATAGCTGTCAAACAACAAAAATGACAGTTGAAAGCAAGCGAGAGCTCGCATGCCGCTCGGTATGCGAGAAAAAGCATGCTTCGTACTTTTTGCGGTCTCTGTGATAAAATTTATTGCTGATATAAGTCATATCAGTGGCAATATTTGGGTGTGGGCGTTTTATATCTTGATATAACGCCACGTCTCCATTTTCTACTAAATGTGTCTAAACATCTGTCAATTATCTGTTTTAACTTTGTCCCGTTTTCTCATGTGAGCAACGGTAAAATTAAGACTGAGTTGTCAAACTACGAAGTGACATCTGATGTTAAGACGGCGTTGGTAAGAAATTCGGTAAGACAGATATGGTTTAACAGTGGAAATTTGCGGTTTCCACCTGTCATTTCTGTCTTAACAGAGCTTTTTTAACAGAATCTGTAGATGCTGGAGACGTGGGGTAGGCATTTGCACGATGGCTTTTAAAAAGTAATTTTGCGGATTTCATCGCTTAACAAATTTAGAAAATATGCTTTTTCACATCAAAGTACATAACAAAAAATATTTTAATAGAAAACAGCCAAATTTTTGCTTTTATATTAAAATATCAATAGTTGAAGCCACGAAGTTTTCGTGCAAATAAAAAGGCAGCTGTCAAACTTTCAAATTGCCGGTAATAGCTGGCAAGATATACCCGGCAAGTTCTGCAATTCACTTCCGGGTGTTTTGAGCCAAGTTCGCTTTGAACTCAAATTGGCAGCGGATGAGATTCACTCAGAAGTGAATTGCAGAAACTGCCCGATAAGCTTTGATATATTTTGCTCTTGAGCAATGACCGATCTCCATTGGCTATTTGTATTCTAACATATGTATCTTGATATAAACTGTGTTTCACAACGAATAATTATCCAAAATTTTTACTGGATTTTGCTGAAAAGCCTCTCTTGACACAGAAGAGAGCCAAAAAGAGAGCAAAAAAAGCAAGAGAGCTGCAAATTTCTGCAGGCGAAATTTCTGCCAACAANATAAAAAAGCAAGAGAGCTGCAAATTTCTGCAGGCGAAATTTCTGCCAACAAAAATTTCCAGTCATATGTTTGAAAAGCATCTGTTCAAAACGCACAAGGAAAAAGTTGGCAGGTTTATTTTACTTCGTTTTAATAAAACCAAATGAGTGCATCGTGACCAAAACACATTAGTTGTATTTATTTGGGTTATCCAGCTCAGTATCACGATCATTTTTCACGGAAACGGTCTGAATCATTCTTATTGGAGTTGGAAGTGCTAATTTTATACTACTAGCACTAGGAAGACGAAATTATAAAAATGAATTCACTTATATGGGGAAAAGTTAAACCAAATAATCTGTCTTATCCTGAGTTTCACCTGAAAAAAAATTCACCTGAAATTTTGCCATCCGCCCATAGTAAAACCATGGAAACCAAAAATGAAAAGTGAATCGGCTCGGGGAAAATTAAACTCATGATTAGAGCGATGTTACGTAGACGATCATATGATCCCTGGTCACGACACTTTTTCTCTCATTTTTTCCATTCTTACTCTCTTTAACCAACATGCTGATATGGTGAGAGTCAAATGACCAGCGTATTTCTTTGTCTCAGTTGTATTTCTTTCGTCTTTTTTTTACTACTGCTTGTTACATTTGTGTTGTGAAATGACGAACAAATTAAAAAACGGAATTTGTATGTGTATAACAACATGTTAAAAGCCAACAAAACAAGGGCTGCTAGCATTAATTTTATTCTCTACATATGTACTACGTTGTATATATCCACAGCAAAAATGTACCAT